GACTCCCTCAGCACAAGCTGCCAATTTTCAAATGCAGGAGTTGGCATGTACTTTCAAAATTTCTGATTTAATCAAGAGTATGCCCACATATTAAGGTAACAGTGATGGACTAAAGTGAGTTTATTACGAACGTAGAGGAAATCTTGTTGCGCATTAAAGGAACAGAACAAACTCCGATAGGATTAATGATTTTAAGGGCAATTAGAAAAAAAATACAGGGAAAAGCATAGGCATGAAACATTTCCCTGGCAAGAGAGTACAATCTTATTGTCGAGCTTGGCATTTATACACTCCAAAGTCATCAACTGGAAGTTCAATATGAAAAGGTCACGAGGATTCAAAGAGCCCTTCTAAACATAGTCGATCAAAAGGAAACTAACCCCACAGTAATATAAACTAAAAGATCTATTTATCAATCAGTGTTTTACTATGTTTATAAAAGGTCTCCGCGGTCCTTTAGGATTAACTGTTAGGGGCAGAGACCCCACTGACATCGTTACAGCGTTTGAAATAGATATTGCGGAAAAAAATTTACAATAACCAAACGCACGCTAGACGACGTGGCCAGAATTTAGAAAGACCAAATAAACGATACGATAAAATGTCAGAACCAAAAGAATAGAAATACAAATTTTTCTCAGCAGTCATTTAAATCCTCATACACAAGTGATAGTCTTAACAACTGCAGAATAAAGAAGAAGCTCACAACATTAATGATGACCAAAATTTTCAGTTTGTAGCCTCAAATTGCTCAATCCAATGGGCGGCACCCTCCTGTGGCACTTGCGGCTTATATTTGTAGGGTGCTGACATGTCATTGACCAGATTCTTGGATTGCGGATATTGCAAAAGCTGTTGAATGACTGTTAAGAGTCGCTCAGCAATCAACTCCTCATAGTTCACATTCCTGCCATAGCCATTCTGCCCGGTAAGCGCCATATTTAGGAACTGATCGCCGAAGATCGGAAGGCCAACAAAAACTTTGCCGTGCTAAATGGATTCAGTGGTTTTCAGCAGACCAATATATCGTCCTGCGAGAACCAGTCGGAGATAAATACGTTCTCTGGCTTTCCGACAAAATTGGGATCCTCGAATTTCCATAGCACCCGTTACTTGAGCGTACTAAAGGTTTCGACTAGAGCCTGACGTATCTTGAGCGGCAAATCTTTGCTCTTCAAGTTTGATCCCATTGAGAAGTAGATGACACCATGTTTAGCGCTCCTGATTAAATCATCAATGTCTTGTGCCAGTGGCTGGCGCTTCCGATTGATGTGCATACCCCCAACTTCGATCATGTTGGGTGAGTAGGGACGGCGAAAGGTCAGAGAGAAGTGTTGATTGACCAGCACCACGAGAAGTTCTTGCTTAACTCCAGAGGGTTTTTATGGGCCACATGTGCTCATAAAGTTTCACCTGCAATGGCATATAGACCAGCTTTCTGTTAAGCCAGGCAGTGGCATTCTCGACAAAGTTATGCGATCGGTCAGTCTTGCCATCACGGGCAGTGTTGCCCACCAGCTCATCGATATTCCAGTCTGTGACGAATGTGGAGATACCCATGATCGGCGCATTAGTGTGCCGCGAAGCCATAAAACTCATCGGTGTCAAGATCAGCATGAACACATTCTATTAATAACAAGTAAGAGATATTAGGGTATCTATCCCAGTCCTATCTGCGTTTTTTAGTATTTTCCGTAGTTTGTATCGAGTATAAAAATAAAAAAACAAAAAAAAACAAATAAATACCGACAATACGACAGCAGAATTCGAACACAAAATTTCTACGCAAACGCGCATCAACCCTAGCAACACCGCCACTTCATAATTAAAAATAAAACTATAAAACGTGTTCGATCGCCAACAGACAGTTGCAACTGCTTGCAAAAAGAGATGCAAATTTGAACATAAGTAGCAGCTGATATTTCAGCACAATTTCACAATTTCGATTCTTCGAATAGAAAAGAAGAAGGAAGAGCGACGCTCGTAATACTGAAGGTATATAAATCCCTAATCAAACAGAAAAGTTATCAAATGTTTGCTGTTTTTAATATTTTCCATAGCATGTATCGAGTGTTAAAAAAAAAACAAATAAAAACCGACATTACAACACCAAGATTCTAACCCACAATTTCAACGGAACGCTCATCGATTATACTAAGACCGCCACTTCATTATTAAGTAAAAAGCAATAAGAAATCTGTCTGCGACACCAGCAAAGAACGTTGCAAATTTGAAATGAAGCATCAGCTCATAAGAATAACCGCATTTGAATGTACACGCATTTGAGTGCACACGTATAGAAAACTTGATATACGCGTGCTATACAGGGACCTACAAAAAATTTCAAGTCTCTAGCTCTTATAGATGCTGAGATCGACGCGTTTACGCATACGGACAGACGAACAGTCGGACAGACAGACGGACAGTCAAACGAACAGACGGACAGGGCTCAATCGACTCGGCTTGTCGTCCTGATCAAGTATATATATATTTGCGCCTAACCATTCACCCCGATTTGCCATTTTCAGTGGGATCAGGTGTTGGCTGATGCTAAGGCTGGTGAATGTTCATTTTTGGAAAGCAACGTTCGTAACTACACTGGTTTGAACATAGTGTGCAATTATATATCGGCTGCTGTTAAGAAAAAAGAAAGTGAAAACCATGCTTTAATCTTTTTGTGGCAAATTTTTCATTTATTTGAATGAATAGGTGGCTCGTGTTTTACAAAGCGATGCTCATAATATTACAGATCTAAGTGGCACTGATACTATGCTGAGTCACGCTATTTTGACATTGCCATCTCCGTATTCCGTGTCGTCTCTTTGACGTCCATTAGTATTGGCTTTTTCAACGATCGTGTTATTATTAATATTCGATGACTGTGCACATGTGAAGTAACAAAAAAACTCAGTTCGAAGCTTACTTTTTATGTTCTATTATTTATATGACGACTAATGTTAATCTTTATATACGAAGAGATTGCAATTTATCTGCGCCAGCCGTTAGCAAATAGTTTGTTTATCTGACTCATGAACTATATAGAGCAATGCTTCTCAACGAAGACGTCAAAGCTGATGCATTACATGCTTCCTTCTCAGGGCGTAAGTCTTCGGGACCATTTCTAGTACCTGCCATCCTCCTTGGCAAAAACAGACTCCAAGCCAGCGGAAAACAGAACTCAGGAAATCAAATATAACAGACAACAAATGTGTTTACATGATAAGCAGGGAAAGAATTACGGAGCCTGACTTCAATTAGCAATACCGATCATAATTAGAATACCAAAGTAGATCCAATCTGAACATATAGACGTCGACCATTCAGAGCTAAGCCGCTAACGTGTGGGTTGAAAACACATCAGTCAGACTATAAATAGAAAGAATATAAATAGACATTTATCTCTTGTCGTTCAAAATTAAATTACACCCGTAAAGGAGTTTTAAAGTTTCGAATTGCTGTAACGGATCCTATGGGTCCGCAGAAACAACTCAGTTAATATACGAATATATACCAAATATATACAGTATAACAATGGGTAATCACAATCCATAAATAAAACAATTCAGAATCCATAAATAAAACAATATTTATAGATTTTGTTTACCCATTGAAATACTATGGGTAAACAAAATCTATAAATAAAACGAGTCAGAAAGCTCTGGTAGGGGTGCCCGATTATGAGATACTCTGATCCCAGTCCTATCTGCGTTTATATATATTTTCCATCGAGTATCGCGTACTTAAAAAACATTTGTTATTTAATATTTTCCGTACTGTGTATCGACTATTAAAAAATAAAATTTTGTGGCACGAGGATTCGAACACACATTGTATACGCAACGCGCATTAACTATACCAACATCGCCACCTTATAATTAAACAATAAAAACAACAACAAATGTCCCTTCGCCGCCAGGCACGAACTCAGAGATTCCTGCATTCGAGGGTCGAAAAAAAATCGAAAAAAGTCTACCGTTTTATATACATTGGTTGATTAATATTTGCAGTTCTTAAAAATGGAAATAAGACAACCCTGTTTTACTTCTTCCACAGAAAGGCCATTTCATCACTATTAAACGAAGAATCAACGACAACGTATTAGAAAGTTTAAGATAAATATTAAGCAAACAAAAAAATATACATAGTAAGTTAAAAGATAAGATTCGTTAATTTCAACAGCAAAAACAAAAAAGATAAAAAAGCAGTTGTATCGAGAGGTACTAGGCTTACAAGTCGTGTGTCAGACATTAGGGAAATAAGCACCAATTTAAGTATGCGATTAGAACAGGAGACTCCCCCATCACAAGCTGCCAATTTTCAAATGCAGGAGTTGGCATGTACTTTCAAAATTTCTGATTTAATCAAGAGTATGCCCACATATTAAGGTAACAGTGATGGACTAAAGTGAGTTTATTACGAACGTAGAGGAAATCTTGTTGCGCATTAAAGGAACAGAACAAACTCCGATAGGATTAATGATTTTTAGGGCAATTAGAAACAAAATACAGGGAAAAGCATAGGCATGAAACATTTCGCTGGCAAGAGAGTACAATCTTATTGTCGAGCTTGGCATCAACTGGAAGTTCAATATGAAAAGGTCACGAGGATTCAAAGAGCCCTTCTAAACATAGTCGATCAAAAGGAAACTAACCCCACAGTAATATAAACTAAAAGATCTATTTATCAATCAGTGTTTTACTATGTTTATAAAAGGTCTCCACGGTCCTTTAGGATTAACTGTTAGGGGCAGAGACCCCACTGACATCGTTACAGCGTTTGAAATAGATATTGCGGAAAAAAATTTACAATAACCAAATGCACGCTAGACGACGTGGCCAGAATTTAGAAAGACCAAATAAACGATACGATAAAATGTCAGAACCAAAAGAATAGAAATACAAATTTTTCTCAGCAGTCATTTAAATCCTCAAACACAAGTGATAGTCTAAACAACTGCAGAATAAAGAAGAAGCTCACAACATTAATGATGACCAAAATTTTCAGTTTGTAGCCTCAAATTGCTCAATCCAATGGGCGGCACCCTCCTGTGGCACTTGCGGCTTATATTTGTAGGGTGCTGACATGTCATTGACCAGATTCTTGGATTGCGGATATTGCAAATGCTGTTGAATGACTGTTAAGAGTCGCTCAGCAATCAACTCCTCATAGTTCACATTCCTGCCATAGCCATTCTGCCCGGTAAGCGCCATATTTAGGAACTGATCGCCGAAGATCGGAAGGCCAACAAAAACTTTGCCGTGCTAAATGGATTCAGTGGTTTTCAGCAGACCAATATATCGTCCTGCGAGAACCAGTCGGAGATAAATACGTTCTCTGGCTTTCCGACAAAATTGGGATCCTCGAATTTCCATAGCACCCGTTACTTGAGCGTACTAAAGGTTTCGACTAGAGCCTGACGTATCTTGAGCGGCAAATCTTTGCTCTTCAAGTTTGATCCCATTGAGAAGTAGATGACACCATGTTTAGCGCTCCTGATTAAATCATCAATGTCTTGTGCCAGTGGCTGGCGCTTCCGATTGATGTGCATACCCCCAACTTCGATCATGTTGGGTGAGTAGGGACGGCGAAAGGTCAGAGAGAAGTGTTGATTGACCAGCACCACGAGAAGTTCTTGCTTAACTCCAGAGGGTTTTTATGGGCCACATGTGCTCATAAAGTTTCACCTGCAATGGCATATAGACCAGCTTTCTGTTAAGCCAGGCAGTGGCATTCTCGACAAAGTTATGCGATCGGTCAGTCTTGCCATCACGGGCAGTGTTGCCCACCAGCTCATCGATATTCCAGTCTGTGACGAATGTGGAGATACCCATGATCGGCGCATTAGTGTGCCGCGAAGCCATAAAACTCATCGGTGTCAAGATCAGCATGAACACATTCTATTAATAACAAGTAAGAGATATTAGGGTATCTATCCCAGTCCTATCTGCGTTTTTTAGTATTTTCCGTAGTTTGTATCGAGTATAAAAATAAAAAAACAAAAAAAAAACAAATAAATACCGACAATACGACAGCAGAATTCGAACACAAAATTTCTACGCAATGCGCATCAACCTTAGCAACACCGCCACTTCATAATTAAAAATAAAACTATAAAACGTGTTCGATCGCCAACAGACAGTTGCAACTGCTTGCAAAAAGAGATGCAAATTTGAACATAAGTAGCAGCTGATATTTCAGCACAATTTCACAATTTCGATTCTTCGAATAGAAAAGAACAAGGAAGAGCGACGCTCGTAATACTGAAGGTATATAAATCCCTAATCAAACAGAAAAGTTATCAATTGTTTGCTGTTTTTAATATTTTCCATAGCATGTATCGAGTGTTAAAAAAAAACAAATAAAAACCGACATTACAACACCAAGATTCTAACCCACAATTTCAACGGAACGCTCATCGATTATACTAAGACCGCCACTTCATTATTAAGTAAAAAGCAATAAGAAATCTGTCTGCGACACCAGCAAAGAACGTTGCAAATTTGAAATGAAGCATCAGCTCATAAGAATAACCGCATTTGAATGTACACGCATTTGAGTGCACACGTATAGAAAACTTGATATACGCGTGCTATACAGGGACCTACAAAAAATTTCAAGTCTCTAGCTCTTATAGATGCTGAGATCGACGCGTTTACGCATACGGACAGACGAACAGTCGGACAGACAGACGGACAGTCAAACGAACAGACGGACAGGGCTCAATCGACTCGGCTTGTCGTCCTGATCAAGTATATATATATTTGCGCCTAACCATTCACCCCGATTTGCCATTTTCAGTGGGATCAGGTGTTGGCTGATGCTAAGGCTGGTGAATGTTCATTTTTGGAAAGCAACGTTCGTAACTACACTGGTTTGAACATAGTGTGCAATTATATATCGGCTGCTGTTAAGAAAAAAGAAAGTGAAAACCATGCTTTAATCTTTTTGTGGCAAATTTTTCATTTATTTGAATGAATAGGTGGCTCGTGTTTTACAAAGCGATGCTCATAATATTACAGATCTAAGTGGCACTGATACTATGCTGAGTCACGCTATTTTGACATTGCCATCTCCGTATTCCGTGTCGTCTCTTTGACGTCCATTAGTATTGGCTTTTTCAACGATCGTGTTATTATTAATATTCGATGACTGTGCACATGTGAAGTAACAAAAAAACTCAGTTCGAAGCTTACTTTTTATGTTCTATTATTTATATGACGACTAATGTTAATCTTTATATACGAAGAGATTGCAATTTATCTGCGCCAGCCGTTAGCAAATAGTTTGTTTATCTGACTCATGAACTATATAGAGCAATGCTTCTCAACGAAGACGTCAAAGCTGATGCATTACATGCTTCCTTCTCAGGGCGTAAGTCTTCGGGACCATTTCTAGTACCTGCCATCCTCCTTGGCAAAAACAGACTCCAAGCCAGCGGAAAACAGAACTCAGGAAATCAAATATAACAGACAACAAATGTGTTTACATGATAAGCAGGGAAAGAATTACGGAGCCTGACTTCAATTAGCAATACCGATCATAATTAGAATACCAAAGTAGATCCAATCTGAACATATAGACGTCGACCATTCAGAGCTAAGCCGCTAACGTGTGGGTTGAAAACACATCAGTCAGACTATAAATAGAAAGAATATAAATAGACATTTATCTCTTGTCGTTCAAAATTAAATTACACCCGTAAAGGAGTTTTAAAGTTTCGAATTGCTGTAACGGATCCTATGGGTCCGCAGAAACAACTCAGTTAATATACGAATATATACCAAATATATACAGTATAACAATGGGTAATCACAATCCATAAATAAAACAATTCAGAATCCATAAATAAAACAATATTTATAGATTTTGTTTACCCATTGAAATACTATGGGTAAACAAAATCTATAAATAAAACGAGTCAGAAAGCTCTGGTAGGGGTGCCCGATTATGAGATACTCTGATCCCAGTCCTATCTGCGTTTATATATATTTTCCATCGAGTATCGCGTACTTAAAAAACATTTGTTATTTAATATTTTCCGTACTGTGTATCGAGTATTAAAAAATAAAATTTTGTGGCACGAGGATTCGAACACACATTGTATACGCAACGCGCATTAACTATACCAACATCGCCACCTTATAATTAAACAATAAAAACAACAACAAATGTCCCTTCGCCGCCAGGCACGAACTCAGAGATTCCTGCATTCGAGGGTCGAAAAAAAATCGAAAAAAGTCTACCGTTTTATATACATTGGTTGATTAATATTTGCAGTTCTTAAAAATGGAAATAAGACAACCCTGTTTTACTTATAAAAATACTTCTTCCACAGAAAGGCCATTTCATCACTATTAAACGAAGAATCAACGACAACGTATTAGAAAGTTTAAGATAAATATTAAGCAAACAAAAAAATATACATAGTAAGTTAAAAGATAAGATTCGTTAATTTCAACAGCAAAAACAAAAAAGATAAAAAAGCAGTTGTATCGAGAGGTACTAGGCTTACAAGTCGTGTGTCAGACATTAGGGAAATAAGCACCAATTTAAGTATGCGATTAGAACAGGAGACTCCCCCATCACAAGCTGCCAATTTTCAAATGCAGGAGTTGGCATGTACTTTCAAAATTTCTGATTTAATCAAGAGTATGCCCACATATTAAGGTAACAGTGATGGACTAAAGTGAGTTTATTACGAACGTAGAGGAAATCTTGTTGCGCATTAAAGGAACAGAACAAACTCCGATAGGATTAATGATTTTTAGGGCAATTAGAAACAAAATACAGGGAAAAGCATAGGCATGAAACATTTCGCTGGCAAGAGAGTACAATCTTATTGTCGAGCTTGGCATTTATAAACTCCAAAGTCATCAACTAGAAGTTCAATATGAAAAGGTCACGAGGATTCAACGCGCCCTTCTAAACATAGTCGATCAAAAGGAAACTAACCCCACAGTAATATAAACTAAAAGAGAACTATTTATCAACCAGTGTTTTACTATGTTTATAAAAGGTCTCCGCGGTCCTTTAGGATTAACTGTTAGGGGCAGAGACCCCACTGACATCGTTACAGCGTTTGAAATAGATATTGCGGAAAAAATTTACAATAACCAAACGCACGCTAGACGACTTGTCCAGAATTTAGAAAGACCAAATAAACGATACGATAAAATGTCAGAACCAAAAGAATAGAAATACAAATTTTTCTCAGCAGTCATTTAAATCCTCATACACAAGTGATAGTCTAAGCAACTGCAGAATAAAGAAGAAGCTCACAACATTAATGATGACCAAAATTTTCAGTTTGTAGCCTCAAATTGCTCAATCCAATGGGCGGCACCCTCCTGTGGCACTTGCGGCTTATATTTGTAGGGTGCTGACATGTCATTGACCAGATTCTTGGATTGCGGATATTGCAAAAGCTGTTGAATGACTGTTAAGAGTCGCTCAGCAATCAACTCCTCATAGTTCACATTCCTGCCATAGCCATTCTGCCCGGTAAGCGCCATATTTAGGAACTGATCGCCGAAGATCGGAAGGCCAACAAAAAATTTGCCGTGCTAAATGGATTCAGTGGTTTTCAGCAGACCAATATATCGTACTGCGAGAACCAGACGGAGATAAATACGTTCTCTGGCTTTCCGACAAAATTGGGATTCTCGAATTTCCATAGCACCCGTTACTTGAGCGTACTAAAGGTTTCGACTAGAGCCTGACGTATCTTGAGCGGCAAATCTTTGCTCTTCAAGTTTGAGCCCATTCAAAAGTAGATGACACCATGTTTACCGCCCTTGATGATATCCTCAATGTCTTGTGGCAGTGGCTGGCGCTTCCGATTGATGTGCATACCCCCTACTTCGATCATGTTGGGTGAGTAGGGACGGCGAAAGGTCAGAGAGAAGTGTTGATTGACCAGCACCACGAGAAGTTCTTGCTTAACTCCAGAGGCTTTTTATGAGCCACATGTGAATAGTATTGCTCATAAAGTTTCACCTGCAATGGCATATAGACCAGCTTTCAGTTAAGCCAGGCAGTGGCATTCTCGACAAAGTTATGCGATCGGTCAGTCTTGCCATCACGGGTAGTGCCATCACGGGCAGCTCATCGATATTCCAGTCTGTGACGAATGTGGAGATACCCATGATCATTTAAATCCTCAAACACAAGTGATAGTCTGAACAACTGCAGAATAAAGAAGAAGCTCACAACATTAATGATGACCAAAATTTTCAGTTTGTAGCCTCAAATTGCTCAATCCAATGGGCAGCACCCTCCTGTGGCAGTTGCGGCTTATATTTGTAGGGTGTTGATATGTCATTGACCAGATTCTTGGCTTGCGGATATTGCAAAAGCTGTTGAATGACTGTTAAGAGTCGCTCAGCAATCAACTCCTCATAGTTCACATTCCTGCCATAGCCATTCTGCCCGGTAAGCGCCATATTTAGGAACTGATCGCCGAAGATCGGAAGGCCAACAAAAAATTTGCCGTGCTAAATGGATTCAGTGGTTTTCAGCAGACCAATATATCGTACTGCGAGAACCAGACGGAGATAAATACGTTCTCTGGCTTTCCGACAAAATTGGGATTCTCGAATTTCCATAGCACCCGTTACTTGAGCGTACTAAAGGTTTCGACTAGAGCCTGACGTATCTTGAGCGGCAAATCTTTGCTCTTCAAGTTTGAGCCCATTCAAAAGTAGATGACACCATGTTTACCGCCCTTGATGATATCCTCAATGTCTTGTGGCAGTGGCTGGCGCTTCCGATTGATGTGCATACCCCCTACTTCGATCATGTTGGGTGAGTAGGGACGGCGAAAGGTCAGAGAGAAGTGTTGATTGACCAGCACCACGAGAAGTTCTTGCTTAACTCCAGAGGCTTTTTATGAGCCACATGTGAATAGTATTGCTCATAAAGTTTCACCTGCAATGGCATATAGACCAGCTTTCAGTTAAGCCAGGCAGTGGCATTCTCGACAAAGTTATGCGATCGGTCAGTCTTGCCATCACGGGTAGTGCCATCACGGGCAGCTCATCGATATTCCAGTCTGTGACGAATGTGGAGATACCCATGATCATTTAAATCCTCAAACACAAGTGATAGTCTGAACAACTGCAGAATAAAGAAGAAGCTCACAACATTAATGATGACCAAAATTTTCAGTTTGTAGCCTCAAATTGCTCAATCCAATGGGCAGCACCCTCCTGTGGCAGTTGCGGCTTATATTTGTAGGGTGTTGATATGTCATTGACCAGATTCTTGGCTTGCGGATATTGCAAAAGCTGTTGAATGACTGTTAAGAGTCGCTCAGCAATCAACTCCTCATAGTTCACATTCCTGCCATAGCCATTCTGCCCGGTAAGCGCCATATTTAGGAACTGATCGCCGAAGATCGGAAGGCCAACAAAAAATTTGCCGTGCTAAATGGATTCAGTGGTTTTCAGCAGACCAATATATCGTACTGCGAGAACCAGACGGAGATAAATACGTTCTCTGGCTTTCCGACAAAATTGGGATTCTCGAATTTCCATAGCACCCGTTACTTGAGCGTACTAAAGGTTTCGACTAGAGCCTGACGTATCTTGAGATGCAAATCTTTGCTCTTCAAGTTTGAGCCCATTAAGAAGTAGATGACACCATGTTTACCGCCCTTGATGATATCCTCAATGTCTTGTGGCAGTGGCTGGCGCTTCCGATTGATGTGCATACCCCCTACTTCGATCATGTTGGGTGAGTAGGGACGGGGAAAGGTCAGAGAGAAGTGTTGATTGATCAGCACCACGAGAAGTTCTTGCTTAACTCCAGAGGCTTTTTATGGGCAACATGTGAATAGTATTGCTCATAAAGTTTCACCTGCAATGGCATATAGACCAGCTTTCAGTTAAGCCAGGCAGTGGCATTCTCGACAAAGTTATGCGATCGGTCAGTCTTGCCATCACGGGCAGTGCCATCACGGGCAGCTCATCGATATTCCAGTCTGTGACGAATGTGGAGATACCCATTGCAGGCAGGATATATAACTAAAAACAGACATAGAGATGTCTTACCATGTATCCACATGAACTCCACGTTTAATTAAAAGTTATAACAACTATAACTAATAAACATTCATTACATTTATCAACTTCTATGAAAATGTTCAAAGAATTCAGACAAGTTGGCTTAATGAACCTCTTGTTATTCAAATTTCATTCTTATTTTGATGGGCTAATAGGAATTTATTTATTAAAACAGCTAAAGGCAAAAGTAGACTTAGAAAAATTCATGTTAAAAACAATGCCGAAATCCTGATAATAACAAAGAAAAACATAACTGGAGAAAAAATCACCATTGGCCAAGCCTCCGGTGAACCAAGAAGAAGGAACATTTTATTGCTAAGAAGTTAAACTAGATGAATATCTATTTATTACAAACGGTTTATATTCATCAAAAAACAATTACAGTTTAGTTGAAATAACAAATTATTCAAATGACGAAAGAAATATATATTTTGATCAACCATTACAAGGGTATAGTTATGCCAAAAGATAATACATTGAAGTTAATTTAGCATTTCAGAAAGACACTCAACCTCTAACAAACTCATTTGATTTTAACACCAAAATCAGAACCGTATGCATTAACAAAGAAGAAATACAGTAATTAAAAACATTTGACCAAACCCAACTATCGTTTAAAAACAAGGTTAGACACAAAATAAGAACCACAGATGATGAAAGAATTCAAATAAAAGAATAACTGAAATCATTCTCCTTGGGGTGCACCTGTTTGACTTCTACCAAGAAAATCAGATATATCAGGAGTAAAACCAAACCCTTTTGGGTTATTATAGAAAATTTATTAAAGACTTTGCTAGAATAACAAAACCTCTGACCAATCAATTAAAAGGGAAAACAAAATCAGTTAGTATTAGTGACGATTTTATAAAGGCCTTTGAACAATGCAAAACGTTTCTTTGCAACGAATTAATATTGACATATCCGGACTTTAGTAAATCCTTTATTTTAACCACAAACGCGAGTATTGTTGCCCTGGGAACCGTCCTATCCCAAGGAAAACTAGGATCCGACAAACCAGTGTCATTTGCTAGTAGAACAATAACATACACCGAAGCAAATTATTGCACGGTCCAAATATTTTGCGAACAGCCAACTTTATAATCTTGTAAGATGTATGGAAATCTTAACGGAAATAACAAACCAAGACGAGAATCTTTCGTACTTAAAAAGAAACTTGAATTTTCCTCATATGAAACAAAAAATCGCTAAAACTATTAGCAACTGTGACATTTGTCAAACTCTCAAGTACGATAGAAAACAAAAAATGCCTTATAAAGAAACGGAGGTCAACAAGTTACCTTTAGATATTTTGCACATAGACCTGTACACTATTAACAATCAAAATGTGTTAACAATACTAGACACATTTTTAAGATATGCAGCAGCATATACCATACACAGACACATTTTTAAGATATGCAGCAGCATATACCATACCAGCTAGAAATTGCTTAAGCATTGTAAAATCTCTTAGATACTACATGTGTATACATGGCTTACCAAAGAAAATGGCATGCGACCAAGGAGCGAAATTCACAGGAAATTTGTTTGATGATTTTTGCACTCAATATGACATTAGACATGTCACTTCAATTTAACAGTCGTCAAGTAATGCCCCAGTAGAAAGAAATAAGTCGAACGGCCCCTGCTCACATGACAATACATTAGCAGAAGTTGTAGTTACTTACAATAATTCAATACACTCTGATATCAATTATACACCTTTTGAACTATTTTCGGGAAAGACTCATATGTTCCAAAAATCAATTAAATTCTCTAATGAACATGATTATTTACAAGAACTAAACAAGAACAAGAACTAGCCTACCAGATTAAAAAGCGTACATCAAATTTGAATAGAAAAAGAAAGGAACCACCAGAACTAGAAAAAGATGAATTGACTTTTAGAAAGGAAAAAATGAAATAAACTGACCCCACGTTTTTCTAAGCATAGGATTAAATAGGACAAGGGAGTCACCTGCATTAAGTCAAGAAATCAGAAACTCCATAAATCAAAAATAAGACGTTTGACAACAACTAAAAAAAAAAGAATAAATGAAAAAAATTACAAATTAAATCCACGAGTTGCACGATTTTACTATAATAAACAATAAATGTTGCTGTAACATATAATTATGTAAATAATATACTAGAAATTACTTTAATGACTAAAATTAAACATAAGTCCTGAATGCATACTATCCGCAGACAAAACACTGATAACTGACAAATTACTAACAAAAACATCATCGCAACGTCTCAAGAACACTCATAGAGTATATATGTACATATGCCAAAATTGCACACGTGCCAATATGTATATCTGTAAGCCGACGACTGTCAAAACCCCAACGGGAGACAGTCTTTAAAATGGAATAAGACCGGAAAACAGCAACCTGTAATCTGGTGGTGTGGAACCATAGGAAGGATGACCTGATATTAAATAAAAGCAACATTAAAGTCAATCCTAGTGTCGATATACCATTTGAAATACGTAGCTCAACACTAGTCACTTAAAGATACGTGAAATGGAAACGTTTTATGACAAAGAAGCGACAGATTTCGTTCACTCCAGATCTCCACGCTAGCTATCAATCCCGGAAGGGAGGAGTTACCTTATAAGTCACCCCACCAACAAAACCACTAAGGGCGAAATAAAACATAAACGGGACGACATGTATGCGCAAAAATATATACATGCATATGTCCTTACATATAGACACGTATGCACATAAAAAATATATATACATATGTGCTTACATACATATATAAACATGGAAGTACACACATACGTACGACACAAACTTGTCGTCGAGCCTAAACGAGACTTTCATAAACGATTTCTACATGAAAGTAACCAGATCGAACAGAAAATAAGCGGATAGGATATTTCTCCGTATTGCGAAAAAACCAAGCGAGAAGCAAAACGCACGGACGTTGCAGCTACAAAACGACAGGCAAAAGACTAGACCGACTCTCAGTTAATAAACACTTTGTATTGAGCTTTGAAACAATGCAGACGTGTCTTTAATTTCTAAACATTAAACAGAAAACAGTAATTGTCTTCAACGACATTGTGAGGTTTGATTACTTCTAATTGATAACTCGCGTGGTATTCAAGAGCCTAGCTCTCTAGCTCATACTTACGGTTCGATAAAAAAGTTTTGGTTTTAAAGATAAGAACAGATATTTGTTCGGATACTGATGTTCTAAAGTAAAAGATTGATTTCCGTTTATAACCAATAAAGTAATAATAATATTTAAGAAATTAAAAATAATTAACAAATAAAAAAGTTTAAACAATCATATAGTGTTGCACTTACCGTATTTTATATACTGGGCATTCATAAACATTCTTTGTATCCTGTTTATCCTGTGTAACAGCTTTAATGTAAATAACGGGCATAGAAGGAAATAATTCTTTGTTTAGGGCATCTGTTATTGTGCTCATTTTCATGTCCCACCTAGCGCCTTCCATAAACAATCCATTGACATAAGCTCCTTCTCTAGGTGCAGAACTAATTCATGTTTTAAATTAATTTCTATGATCAGACCATTAGATTTTAATGCTTACGTGAATTCCTCCTTAAATTTTTTTGTAACATCACAGTTAAGACACATTCGATCAAGTGGCCATTCATTTTTTCGTGCTGTTTGCTGCATAATTGCAGTTAGTAAAGACTGTGGATTGAAGAAACCAGCTAACCAAATAGATGATGGCAATTTAAAGTCAGAAACCCAACTTTCTAATTCTCGAAGACGCTGCATGAGGTCTCCAAACCAAGATTGAAGACCTAACAGGCTTGGATAGGCGAGCTTGGTCCACTGCTCTGGTACTTGATCCATATAGAGACATAACATAAGATCTTCCATAATGGATGATATTGTTAGTTCCCCTTTAAGGCCCAAGTCTAATTCGTTAAGTGATCGTCTAAGTTCCGACATAAGAATATTCATCCGTTCACATTCTTGAAAAGCAACTATAATGTATGGATTACGATCCTCTACACGCCCCATAAGCTCAACAATATTAAATGGCGTGGGAACTTTATCTAGTAAGTCTTCAATAACTCCTTTAATAATATCCTCTTGTGAGACAGACTCACCACTTCCGCCTGAACCGCTAGACATACGAGGTTGTAATTCAAATACTATTCGGAAAAGTCGCTCTGATACTGTCGTAAGAAATCCAATTTCTGCGTTTAAATTTAACCCATAAAGAGCAGGGCTTTCTGATGGCAAATTTTCATCGATATACAAATGATATCCAGCGTATTTTAGAATTCCTGGAGCTGGAAAACCCGGGCAGAACTCTAGATCCCCATCGATAAGCTCTGGCTGCATAAATTCCTCAAGGTAGGTGCGGCACAATCGACGGTCCCAATCATCTGTAATATGTCCACCATACATGATCTCACCAAACAAATAACGTAGATCTTCCCACGGAACTCGAGTGTTAGCTTCCAAATAATTAAAAAGAACATACACTGAAATTGTAAGATCGCCCACATTAAACGGATACGAACGATTCCATCCCTGTGGTCCAAATTTACGACGTTCTGCTACGACGGCATGAAAATAACACAGTGAAAAAAGAATAGCTTTAAATTCGGTTTCCTTAGAGCACATCTCTAGAGTTTCATCGGTAAAGTTATCTAAAGCTTTATGTATATTGGCCATCATTCCTGTTGGTGGTTCATTGGTAATTTTAATTGCAGACTCAAGAATGCCTTGTGGTAGAATATGATTCATTGGATCAGCTGCAGGTTCAGCACTCAAAAAAAGTCTATATTTCGGATTCACGTTGATAAGGGATGCTTCTATTTTCTTTTCAAGGCTAGACAGCCAGCGTGCAACAAGGTGAATATTCTGTAGAATGACCCAATGACCTTGTTGAGAAGCTGTTTCAATAGCTTTTTCAGCAATAATTTCTTGCCCTTGACCTAATGACACACTATGAAAGTTCTCATGATCAAAGCTGTAACCCAAGACTTTTCCAATTTTTTCAACATCTTTTAGCGGGTCAACACCAGGCGATAGAACAAAGAAAATATGAGTTTCAGGGCTTGACTCTTTAAAGGTTTTAGAGAATTCTATAGAGCGTGCATCAATATACTTTGAACCTAATTTCTCATCAATGAAGCCTTTCATGGCGTATGACATCCGGTCTGGACGTATACAACGCATTATGCACAACCTCTGAATTGCCGATTTTGTTTTCCATTCACCAGGTAATTTTTCATTTTCTGGGCACTCCGAATCAATAAATTTCATCCAGCGTTTGTGAGATCCTTCAATATCTTTTTCAAGTCCTTTAAAAGCTGGCAAGTTATTTAAAGCACGTATTCCCCCCCATCCAGTATGACTAAGCCAAGAAAAATTTGAAGTTTGATTGGCCATATAAGGAAATCGCAGAAGAAAATCAAGTTCAGTTGGCTCCACTTCACCCATATTAACCAAGATTTGTAAACACATTTGGGTAAGAAATATTAGTTTGTCTTGCTCAAAAAGTCCTCGAGATGTGTAAATGTAGCAGCTATATGTAATTGATTCCATTAAATTATCAACACGATCCTTAAGTTTTTCAGCAGGAGCAGAGTTAATCATTGCATTATTAAATACTACTGTGAATGCTTTTAAGGAAAACTGATAGATTGGATTTATTTTAAATAAGTCATTAAGTATAAAATATATAATAGAAGCTCGCTCGGCAGCAGGTCTGTATGCTTCTCTGGCGGTGTCAATTTGAACACCTGTAATCTTTGCTTCAGCAACCTTTATTTCAATTTCATCTGCCGTTTTTTTTGTTTTTTCTAGATTCATTACCAAGGTTATATCTTCAAGAACATTATCACCAGCTGAGGACAATCGGGCCAAAAGATCATCTTCCAAAAGTTTTAATGTAATTTTAAAATGATTTTGTTGTTGTGTTAGGCGAGTTCTCATAGATTCTAAGTCAGGTCTCTCAACTTTGACTACTTCAGCTAATAGTTGATCTTCTAATCCGTCACGAGTTACTGTAAAATTTATTAGTGTAGTTTGTGCTTGCATTTCAGGTTTATAATGTGGGTTGGCTAACTTTGTATGCAAAATCAAACGAAAATTCGGATTAAAGTCAATTTCACGGTCCCCAATTTTTAATATTGTTCCCTTCTTAATAAGCATGCGACCCAGTAATGGATTAAGAACAGCGTCGACATTCTCTCCAATGTTTTCAATCAAGAGAACGTTTCCATTGCTAACCGCTTTTTCAACCAAGTCAAGGTAGCCTCTTTGGGTAAGCCGCAATACAACGAGAGATGGTCCATATTTGGACTTAACCCACTTTATGCCCTGGCTAAAGATAAGATTAGTTTACATTTTGTGTGACAATTTCATACTCACAGTTGAGGATCAATCATAAGCGGATATCGCTGAGATTGAACTAAAATGGCGGCATTTTCCGCGGACATACGGTCACTTGGTAGTCCTTGATTGTTCCATTCAGCAATTTGTGCATCATCACAGATCATTTCAAATGGATCAATTCCCTCTGTCGAAGGTATTGGGGGCTAAATAAAGATATTTAATAAAAAAAGTATATAAATATTTAATTTAGAATAAAAACCTATTGATGGACAAAAATATTTAGTTGTGACAGCTCATCATTCGCTTATTTTATTATTCACTGAATTACCATTGTCAATGGGAGAAATTTGCAATACTTTTATTTTTGTGCCATCGATGTAAAAGTAGCATGCCATTTGTTCTCGCAGAATGTCATCGGTAATTCTTCGAAATGTACTACCCGCCTTTTTTCACCAAAACGGCAATAATTTCGATTAATAGAAAGTTTTTGATTTCCTTGGACATAGCTTAGAAAATACGGGGTTATAACCGATTGTGCGAATTGCTACAATGAAAAATCCTTAATCCTTTTCAAATTCATTTTTTAAATTGTGTTTTAATGAAAAATGGTATCTGTATGACGTATATCTGGAGGCAACTGGTACAACGACTTTAATCCGCTGTTGAGGAACTGTCGTTGTTTCCCTTCTCTGATGATTAGGTTAGGAAACTATTTATGTATAACGGTCTCGCACAAAACTAATTTAATAAACGCAGTGTTAGTTGGCGGGTTGGCCTCGAAACATATTGCGTCATGTAATACTTAATGTATAAAGGTCTCGTACAAAACTAATTAAGACAACAAAGCTACAAAGTGATAGTTGGAAACTGATAACGCTGCTCTCGCAACATATTACGATTATCATGTTATGTCTTCTTGTGGCAAGCTGGCTAACTTCCCAGTGGACCTATGCTTCGTTAAGAATGCTTATTATTGATTAAATTTAAATACACTTGAATTTGAATTAAACTTTTTACCAAAATTAATGTCTCTGAAATAGAGACATTTGAATAAGCTATAAATGGTTAGGAAAAAATTGTTCTTTGCTTCCAAGGGATTGCTAATAACGGATATTGAGACGATGCAGATCATAATTAGTTCTCAGAACGGACAATGGCACATGAAAAAGGGGTTGAGCATTTAAATTCTTTTGGTGTGCGAGATTAATTATCAATACACTTCTTAATATAAAAAATTTAATAAAAGTAAAGGTATTATCCTTTAATAAATTTAAATTATTGTTCATCAACAATCTTATCATCATCAATTTAAATATTTAATTCTTTTTCTCTCTTATCTAATGCAACTTACTGATGTGCTTTGAAATTAGTCAATGTATGTGTAACGGTGTGTAAATGTGTTATTTACCTGCATATTTTGAAAGGTCGGCATCCACATCTTTTGTTGCAATTCTGTTCTATAAACACGAGTAAAGCAGCCAACATAAGATATAAAACATGATATAAGTAATATATCTCCAGGTAGTTGTCTAATGCCCAATGTTATGCTATATTAAGAAAAAATATTTTAAATAAAAATTTATTTCACATATATTTAAAGATATTTCTTACTTTTTCACGGAATCTATCCATCGAACTTTCTCCGTAGCTAGTCCACCTATTAATCGGTTAGCTATATCGATGGTAAAAGCAGTTTTATCTGCTTCATCTTGACACTTTTGTTTTTTTGCCATTGCCTCATCGAATGAAATTTGTAGGATATTTAACTCCTGTTCGAGTTCATTAAGTCGCTGATTCAATGCCGTAAGTTTATCTCTTGCATCATTTAGTTCCTTCTCAGCTTCAACAAGAGCTCGTTCCTTAGGTTCAACCACGAGATACACATCATAAAACCGGTTAATATTAATTACCCATGAACACAAACCGGCAGCTGCAGATGATTTTGATATAATTTTTTCTGGATTGAATTCAGGGTCTAGAACATATGGCTGTAATGCCTTTATTACATCTGGGTGTATGTGCTTTTTATCATAATTAATTAAATTATCGAGAAATTTGTCAACATTGCCCATCATACCACGAGACGCTTTCCAACTACGGTCCTTAGGTATTTTTCCATTAGGAGAAAAAAGTACCAAAACAGCACTACATACACCCACTACAGCATCTGGGGGTGATCCAAATGACTTAAGCTCAGTTAAGTTATTTTTATTGAGAGTATTAAGGGCTTCCTGAGCAGCGAGAAGTGCCGGTTGAGCCTTACGAAAATCTTCTTCGCACAGTTTGGCCTTAGCTCCCACATCTTCTTCAATCTGACGCACATTTTTTTCCTCTTTAGTGGCATAAGCGCGTTCTTTCGATACTTTTTCATTTTCTGTGCTGACCACTATTATAAGATTATCTGCCTCCTGATTTTTCACTTTTAATTCGACTTCTTGTACTTTAAGAACATCCTGGAGAGCATCTACTTCATTAGTGCAACTAGCAAGTTTAATTAAACCATTTTCTAATCGATTTCGACGATCCAAATTAGCATTGACTTTTTCATATAATAGTTTCGAATAAAGAGAAATCAGCTCAAGAAAAGATTTGGGTGTGGTATAGTTGTATCGTTTTGCACTGGCTAAGTACAGCTCAGAAATATCGTTAACAGTCTTATGCACGTAAGCCATGAATTTCGAAACAGGCGGTGCTAATTCTATTGGCAGCACAGTAATCTCTGATAAAAATCGCATTGATACAGACTCAAGTGCTTGCTGTGGCCACTCATGAAACCAATCTATTGTAGTGCAGTTAACAAGGGCAGGAAATTTTCTTGACCGTACACGAAGCGTTGCACCAACAGGCGAAAAGCACAGAACCACTTTCAGAAGACTGCGAACCTTCTCAATAAAATACTTCCAGCAATTTTCGCGACTGTCAATAATTCCAAGTTGCTTTACTTCGTTACGTACAGCCCCTATAACGTTTTCCATTTCGTCATCGGGAAAAAGTTCATGTATATCCCCAGACGCCAAAAGATCATTAACAAGAACTAAAAACTGTTCACGCGCAACCTCGGAATCAGTCATTAAAAAACAGCACGCTGTGCTTTTGACTCCCGCCTTTGAATATAATACAGCAATATTTGTTTTTAAATCATTGACGCTGTAATCTTTTGTTAGTTGAATCTGAAAGACGTCTAGAGAGGAAATAAATGCCGCTAAACGAGTAAGCGATTGTTTCCCTGAACCGCCAACTCCAATTAAAAGAGCATATCCTCTTGAAGATTCTAAAATTCTACTTATCCGACAAACATGTGACATGGCATCATCGAAAAGCACCAAATTCATCGCTCCTACATAGTCATTATAACGCATCTGAGCTTCTTCTAACAATGATTTTAAGCGATCCCAGTTTAATATAGGCATATATTTAATATCTGATAGACCTTTTGCAAAATGGCAAAATATGTGGGGCTGTGCATATATAATATCCTCACTAATGCCTTCTATTCCTTTTCGCACTACATCGGTAATTACCTTTTTAAAGTTCCCTATATCAGTTTGATCCACAAGTTTATCGCCATATACTCGAAAACATTCGTGAGCCCATAAACGAATTAAAAGATTGAAATTGGGGCATGTTTCATTATTAGCATAGAGAACACCCTAGATATATTACATTTATTTTTTAACAATATAATAAATATTCTGTTACTTACCGTAAATATATTGGCTAGGTCACGTAAATTAAAATTGTAATGAAATTTCAATGCTGTGGGAAGAAAGGAACTGACCACTTTTAGATGTAGGGCAATGGCTGTATTGACAAGAGCTGTACATTCCTTAATAATGTTTTTATCAAACTTATGTTGTGGGTTTTCCAAATGCTGAGAGAGTATTGAATTAAGAATATGAAATAAAGCCTCCTGACTTGGCTGACTGTAAAAGAAATTTTTGCAACAAATTATTTAGTTGAACTAGAAGTGTAAAATAATGAACATACTTTACTGCAAAGGAGCAAAAGTGCCTTTGTAATCTTGGATTGATTGTAAAAGATCCTGCTGAAGGATTCATGCACGAAACTACATTGCATTTATGTATATCTTTCAAAGTCATTTTAGTTCGATCATACCAATGGTGATAATCCATAAATTGCCTGATCAGTGTATGCGGTTGAACGGTAAAATACTTATCCACTTCCGGCATATTCATATCATCCACAAAATAAATCATTTTTTTGTTACCTATTGGACCATAATTGCGACCAGCTTTTTTTTCTAGCGGTTTTTCTAATATGCGCTGCAGCATTTCCGATGTTGTGTAAAAATTAAACGGTACATTAGTTACTGCAAATTTTTCTGTCGGTAAAGTAGTTAACTTAGCATTCATTAATATTGTCTTGCCAGATCCAGAAGGCCCAATAAGCATTAGAGGATGATCTTCTTCAATAAGAGTATCCATAAAAAAGCGAAGCCGAGTTGTCTCTGCAGAATTAACCAAATTTGATTGGAGGGGAAGATCAGGATCAAGTTCAAAGTCCGGTACAAGATTAGTCCAAGGTAAAAATTTTTTGCTTTCATTATGTATATAGTATGAAAATATATTTCCTGATGGTGGAAATTTGACAGCTCTATATTCATTCTGAAACCATTTACTAAACTCATTACGCCAATCTATAATCTGGTCTTGAAAAAGGGAGGATCCAAAACCCCAAATAACACTAAAAACAAAATAAATCTCGTACCAATCTTTGGGACAGTCATGAGGCACATTCTGTGGAGTCAATGTACTATCTAATAAGAAGCACGTCATTTGCAACCGGGCAATATCTGAAATAGGAGTGATGCTCTTTAGCCGTCCCCGAAAAAGTTCTAGTAATGGCGGCACATATTTATCAAAAAGTACATTAAGTGTAGCTACTTCACTTGCGTTAGTTCGCGTACCTAACCAGGACTGTATGAAAGGGGTCCATCCTAAATCCTGCGGATTTATGTAAAGTATTCCTGCTCGAGAGACTGTTGCTGGTGTTGCAGTACGTAGGGATGCTATCTCGAAAAGTAAGCGCATTTCTTTAGTAAGCGCAATTCGTTCATTGCTGGCTAAAGTTAAAACCTTGTTATCATCCATTACAGTGTTTAGGCTTTCAATCCACATAGGATCAATGTCACCATCAAGCACAATCCACTTTGGACCAGTTCCGCCCAAATTAGCTTGATCACGCATTAAAATAGAGAATAGGCCGTCTTTCCATTCGCGAGTTGCTGGATTAACAATCCCAAATAATTCATCATTTGTTACCGCCTTTGGATTGAGATCATTGTAATGCGGCTTCCGTTTTTGGTTATGATAAGTTTTATTAAGTGTTTTCCACACCTCTGACTTTCCAGTTCCAGCAAAACCTATAATAAATACTGAATGGCGCACTGCAAACAATTCTTCTAGTTGAACAATTTTTAAAATAAAGCCATCCTCTGGTTGTAATTTTAAGTCGATTGCTGACCGTTTAATTACAGTCTCGAATTCCAAATTCCGCTTTCGAGGTACGTCTAATGCCGGAAACAAATCACCAATAAGGCCCATGAAAACAGGAAGATCGTCAGTTACAATTTTTGGAATATTAAAATCTCTTAATGCTCGCATAAGTACTTGATCCTCAGGTCTCATACGATCATCACGCTGCACAAATAACATCAATGATATTAGTATAAGTAATTAAATATAATAATATAATATAAAAACATTGTTAACTTTTAATTTTTTTTAATTCTAAAAAATTTTTGAAATTGAAAAGAGTTCTGTTCAGGTTTCCCCGGCCTTAGTGAGCATTGATATTCTAACTGAAAAAAAAAAACAAAATTCATCTGAACGCCTGTCAGTTCAGAGACGCCAGTGGATATCGAAATTTAGCCATAGCAGTGGTAGCTGATTTCCAGCGTGACTCCTATTCCACATGGTTTTTATAAAGTGCTTATTGTTGGAAATCTATATTTTGATATTGAGTTTGTTAACCCAGACTTTGAAGACGTCGTGATAAAATATGGGCCTTGGTCCAAAAAGCTACGGTACCATTATTTCGACAATGTCAATTTTTCGCTGATTTTTAGCAGGGACTGTATTTTAATAATTCGATATTGCCACAATTCGCAAGATCGATGATCACTCGATATACTACCAATTATTGACAACTCTAAACGTATTTTCGACCAGAGCGACAAAGGGTTGTCAATATTAGCCACAAGATTAAGTAAGACAAAAAGTATCAGGAGACGGCTGAGATATCCTAAGCTGAAAAGGACGCTGAGGGCCAAAATGATTCGTTAAACTTTTTAGGGGTTGTTCCTAGCGGCCGGTCCCTATTCAAAGGTAATTTAATGCATGGATCTAACCGCATCTGTTAATATAGGTAGGAACGATGCTGGACCTAAAAAACAACACCATAAAATAAAATATCAACAGCAAAACCTAGAGAACGACAGAATAGAAAAGAATAACAACCGATAAATGATTCGTTAAACTTTTTAGAGGTTGTTCATAGCTGCCGGTCATTCAAAGACAACTGGGTGAAAGATCATTAAAAATTTTAATTGACACTGGAAGAGCAAAAAACTAAATAAATTCCGTAAAGGCGATTAAAGGTGGCCGGTTGCATCCCTATTCAAAGGTAATTTAATACATGGATCTAACAGCATCTGGACCTAATGAAAAACACCATAAAATAAAATATCAACAGCAAAACCTAGAGAATGACAGAATAGAATAGAATAACAGATAAATGATTGCATATAGTTGTATTTCTTCATTTAACAATGGATATTATAATTAGTCACATACTAGGGAGCACATGTAATCATTCGCACATGTATGTATAATTTCGATATTAGAATTACTAGCAGTATCCAATAACTGCAATGCGTAGGTCCATACTGTCTTCAGTACAGCAAATACATTTTCCTGGTTTTCGCCTTGAGTTGCTCTTGTTTCGATTTTATGTGCTGCTTCCAAGTTAGCCCCGATCAATATGAATACCTAGGTATTTTACCGATTCACTAACAGGTATAGCATGACCGTTTAGTGTAACTTGCACTGACTTTTGTGTCTTCACTATTATTCTCCACTTTTGAATCTATACTTCAGTCAGACCAAGTTCTTGGAGTAGGTTGGATGCAACTTGTGGGTCAGCGTTCGTAGCAATGATTACGGCATCGTCAGCATATGTTGCTATCTCAACAGCGTTTTTTGTAGGTAGGTCAGCCGTGAATATTGTATACAAAACTGGACCCAAAACACTTCCTTGCGGGACACCAGCTTCAGGAGTGTATATACTGAATGATTCGTCATGTTCTTGTACATAAAAAAATTGGTTTGCTCGAAATTGTTAAAAACAATCGGACGATTCATTCAGTGTTCGAGTAAAGAGTTGAGAGAGAAAATAAGAAATCGACGAAACAGTGTGTTCCAAGAGGGGTTAAATGTGCAATGAGACGAAAAAATTTAACTGTCCAGGGATCCACAAAAACAGCTGACGGCAGATACTGGCCAATGCAGTAACGAATTGCATCAATTCTTTAAGTTAGAAGAACACAACAGCTTAGCAAGCAGCTAACATTCTGGAAAGGAGGCTTCATGTCACACAAGGCCATCGATTGGAAGAAATTAACCCAACCTAATCTTCATCAGGATGGATTAATTTGTTTACGTATACATATTTATACATACATTTCATGCTAAGTGAATGTAGAACTTGTACGCCAAAAAAGCTCAAGAAACGCAGATACTGCTCTCAAAGCAGGTATTTGGAATGTAGTATCTGAGTTCTCCATAGCGCTAGTTACCTGCTTGGTGATGCTAAGAATGCAGTTTGGGAGAGAAGGGCAGAGTAGAGTCCATTGGTTTACTAAAACTATGGGACACTTGAGCGATACACCTTTGAACATTAGATTATCAAGTTAATTGTTATCGAATAAAAATTTGATAGAAATGCAGTTCATAAATTGTATATCGTACGGCTTAAAACCTGTAGCCTCCACATTTTGCAGTTAGTCTTATTTATAGTTTAAACAATTGATTTTAATTATATTTTGTTTACAGGCTCCAAATTTCCCTATATTCATTATATTAAGTTCAATTGGATACAGAGCCAAGCGAATAATTTAAATTGAGATTGAATTGTTTTTAAATTAACAGCTGGTACTTTCGTTGAGATTTGCAAGTTCTCGCACAGGCAGTGTGCAGTGGGAGTGTCAGCCGTCGAGTGGAAGTTATTTTTTTTTACTATGAAGGGGTAGAGTTTTATGTGCGTTGCGTAGGTAATATTAATTCGAATCTTAATGTCGTAATGTCGGTTTTTATTTATTTTTTAACGCTCGATACAAGCTATGGAAAATATTAAAAAACGCAGATCGATCGGGGTTAAGGGTAACTCGTGGACATAAAAATACTGTTATCTATATATGAACAACATTTTGGTTAATAAAATTAGTTTATTTCTTATACACTTTATCATAATAGAATATAACTAGTATATGTTCCAATTGTTATGCAAAGAGCGCGACTTTTACTCAGCCAGTGAACCAGTACATATAGGGTCGGTTGATTGACCCCGCTAATTAGCGGAGCACGATTAGTACGTTTGTACTGGTTAAGAATATAAATACTTAACGTGGCTTGTCAGGACTCCCTCTGTCTATTTTGTCTACTGGTTACGTGTATTTAATTCGTGATCTATTAATCGTTTTAGCACGAAGGCAAAATTAAAATCATAGCTGATTATTTAAAAATTAATTAAGTAAATTTTAAAATTGTTAATTATTTACCCTTAGAGCTCCAGCAACTACAAGAACTGATTTAATAGCGCGTAACCCCCAATCATAATGATCTTGCTTCGAGAGTAATTCTTTGCATAGTGTGTACAGCGTAATAAATTTTCTTGCTAGCAAACGTGCTTCCTGAAATCCCTCCGCGACCAACATAATTTCACTAATAAGGGCAAAGTCAGGTACCACCATTGCACAGGGGCGATAAAGGGCTTTGAGGTTTTCCGGCAGCTCAGCACGGCCAGCGTATCCCGGATTCATGGTTATAAATACACCTACCGTCGCTCGTAGGGCAATGTATTCACCTAGAAAACTAAAAGTTGTTTTTTTCGCTTTTATTGCGTCTTGCATACATTTGACTTGAACAGCAACGACGGATAATACTTCAACTGATATGCGATTAAACTCATCAAAGCAACCCCAAGCTCCTGTTTGGGCAAGACCTTTATGTATATTACCAATTGATTGATAGTCCATTTGCTCGGAGCAATTAAAAACGTATACCATCATACCTAAAGCACGTCCTAAATCTTTAGTTGTTTCGGTTTTTCCTGTACCAGCGGGACCAGCAGGAGCGCCGCCCATTACAAGATGTAAAGATTGAGTTAGCGTTATATAGCAACGGTCAGTAAGTGGAGTGATTACAAGACGAGGAGTGTTACCAAGATACTCGTAATCATAACGAAATTGGGCATCACATATGTTCGCAAAGCAATCGTCAATTTTACTATCCCATCGGTGGCGCAATTGGCTTTGCCACTGAAATGCTGTCTGTACCTCAATTTTTTTTGTTATAATATTAGCCACAACGTCACGACTATGAACGTCTATGGTACAAACAGTCATAACTTTCTGACGCTCTGCAGCTGTAAGATCTCCCAATAGAAGTATAATTAGGTTATTTAGTTGATTCACTTGTTTTCTATTATAGTCCTTAAGAGCATTTTCGTACCGCAGCTGTACTTTAGCAAATGCATCATTAGTTTCAGCTGTCCACATTATTTGAGTACCAACTAATGCTGGTTGCGCTGGCCATTCAAATATCCAAACGTGACGAGGCTTATGATCATATTGAGTTAACGAACGTCTTAGCTGATCACGGAGCGTCTCCCTCATTTTGTCGGTCACTCGATTAAGCCAAACTTCTACTTTACCACTGCAATCACAATTTTGAAGAAATGGGACATATTCTTCGAGTTCTTTAGCCACCATCCCACCTGCTTGTCTAGTGCCAGCTATGAGATTGAGTTTACCAACTGAATCATATAATTTAGTCAAATGGCGCGATACCATTGCTGGGCTATTACCATTCGACAAAATATCCAACAAATCAGCTGAGGAAACAAAATAGAAACGAGGATAACATAATCGTTTAGTCTCCAAATAATCGTTTAGGGCTTTTTCACATAGTAGAAGCATTTTAAGTAACGTTTCCAAATGCTCGTTAAGTTTACTACCAGAACGATTTGTAGAGCGTACAACATTTCGATCCGAGTTCATTTGGGCCAAAAGTGCTCTAAACTCTTTATCAATAAAATCAAAACGCTTTGAATCCTCAGGAAGCTGTGACCGTATGTCCTCAGAGCCAATAAAAATACTCTCTAGATATTGCCACTTTCGTTGGACTTCAAACCAAGAACCAATAATCTGGTCAGCATTTGATAGTTTCAGTTGCCAAGTAGAAACTTCATGAAGGAAAAAAGTTACATATTTCGAGGAGATCATATTTTGTATTTGAGCTTGATGATCTTCGAGCGTTTCAATCATTTCTTCTGAGGCTTTTAATAATTTAATACCTGTACGTTCATGAATTTCTATGCCAAATTCCATACCAGCCCAAGCAGCTGCTATATCTCGAAGTTGTTTTTCCATGTTCATTTCTTTTACAGACTTATCAACAATATTTTTAACTTCTTCTTCATATTCATGTAGATTTAGATCAATAAGATACTTTAGAGTCGTTGAATCATCCATGCTGAATTTTACCTGAGTAGTCTGCATAAGTTCAACCCAATGCCTGTCCCTTATTGCCGGATTTTGAAGTTCCGTGACTGCACGCAGTGATGTCATTAAATTTTTTAAAGATGCTTCCATAAATATAAATGGTTCCCACGTACGCATACTTGGGTCTAATCCTCTTAACTCTCTACCAAACTTTTTACATTCTTGGTCCATTCCTTCAATATCAATTTTTTTCCACGGTGTTTTTTTCCAATCATTTATAGTAGATTCTATTGAAATAGAAAAATCCCACATTATTTTAGCAAGCTTTAAATCATTTCGACAAAGTTCAATTTTTGCAGGATCTGGCCCTTGCAGCTCGAAAAGAACAGATGATTCCGTCAAAGTCTGTTGCCGTTGTTCTAATTCAACGATCTCTAAGTCTGTTTCATCAATAAGCTCATAGCAATTAGGGCAAGGAACAGAAAAAAATTTCTTTTGCATAAATTTTTTTCGATAAGTATTTGCCATATTGTTGCAGAGCAAAATGCGCTTTTCAATTTGATCCACTTGATAGCTTTGTATGGGTGCAATAAGCTGTTTTGTTACCGCAGCTTGTCGTTTAATTTTTTGCCATGCATCAGGAAGCTCATTAAGTTGTAAGAGCTCAGTATCCCTAAACTCGTATCCATATTTTTTAAGTAAATTTACAATTTCTCTTAAAGGGTCAAACATATTATCGAAAGTAAACTGCTTTTCATTTATTTGGTTTAATACCGAAAGGATTTTTACCAAGCCATCAAAATCATCTCTTTTTAGTTCTAATTTCAATACTACTTTAGCATCATCTATAAAATCTTGAAGTTCCTGAAAAGATATTAGTGGATTAACAAGTAAATACTACTTACATATATATCAAATTATTGGTGATGTATGGAGTATAAAGTAATAATTAATGTGAGACATGTCTACTTGGTACTGAAAAACTTGTAGAAGCTAATAATGAGAGTAGGATTAGACAAATGTGAATTTTTCACACACACTGACACACACACACACTGCCACACACTGACACACACACACACTGACACACACACACACTGACACACACACACACTGACACACACACACACTGACACACACACACACTGACACACACACACACTGACACACACACACACTGACACACACACACACTGACACACACTGACACACACACACACTGACACACACTGACACACACACACACACACACACACACTCAATTTGCATGACTCCACTTGCGTTTAAATATTTGCTTTGTCGCATATGCTCTGTGTAAACAATTGAAAGTGAAATTTATGCTTATTGAAAAACTTGTAGAAGCTAATAATGAGAGTAGGAGGATTAGACAAATGTGAATTTTTCACACACACTGACACACACACACACACACTGACACACACACTGACACACACACTGACACACACACTGACACACACACACACACTGACACACACACACACTGACACACACACACACACACACACTGACACACACACACACACTGACACACACACACACACACACACTGACACACACACACACACACACTGACACACACACACACACACACACTGACACACACACACACACACACTGACACACACACACACACACACTGACACACACACACA